CATTTTGTTCTTAGCCCGAGACTGAGGCAGGAAAAGAGGAAAGTTTCGAAGTAGAAGAAAAATGAACAGTCGAGGACACGTCTCTAACACAGCTAAAGACAAGTTTATTTGGTCACCTTCTTATATACACTCCACAAACTTCACCACAGCACCTTCCCGATCTCGAAAGCCAAAAGATAACAAAGGTCTCACATCTTTCCACCACAATTGTCAAACGACCTTGACGTTTTCCACAAAGCAATGAACAATAGCTCCCCTCATCCGGAAGACACTTGTGAATCCTTCGCGTACACAGTACACTCTCTCCCTCTACTCTCCGACCCATAATCACAAAGCATCCCGGTAAAAGAAGATATCAATCCACGTGATACAAAGGAAGAAACCACTTACACCTTCACATTCAACAAGCACTTCACAAAACTTTCAAATCCGCAAGAATGATTTTGCGCTGCTGCTAAGCTGTAACGACACCTGACTAATGCAGTTGCCCATTGATTTCATTCTTATTGTTTCTTTTACAACCCTTTTGATGTCGTTTAACTCCCTGTGTATTATCTCTGTTTCAGACCAGTGGGGTATACAATTATTACATTCTTAAACATGTTTCGCTATTTCCGAATTGGCAACGTTGTTTTTGACATTCCTTTTGTGTTCAGTCAATCTGTCATTTATACACCTTGACGTCTGCCCCACATATTTAAAGCCACATTCCAGGGGGATTTCATATACCACTCCTATACCATATACCACCAAGAAGTTCAATGTAGATCTGGTTTTTAGTTCGGATTATAAGTTGAGCAAGCTCACACCTTTCCACAAAAGTGTAAGGGAATGCGCGAAAACACATCGAGAAAAGTCTATTTCGTGTGGTAATGGAGTGGTATATGAAATCCCCCTGGAATGTGGCTTTAAATATGTGGGGCAGACGTCAAGGTGTATAAATGACAGATTGACTGAACACAAAAGGAATGTCAAAAACAACGTTGCCAATTCGGAAATAGCGAAACATGTTCAAGAATGTAATAATTGTATACCCCACTGGTCTGAAACAGAGATAATACACAGGGAGTTAAACGACATCAAAAGGGTTGTAAAAGAAACAATAAGAATGAAATCAATGGGCAACTGCATTAGTCAGGTGTCGTTACAGCTTAGCAGCAGCGCAAAATCATTCTTGCGGATTTGAAAGTTTTGTGAAGTGCTTGTTGAATGTGAAGGTGTAAGTGGTTTCTTCCTTTGTATCACGTGGATTGATATCTTCTTTTACCGGGATGCTTTGTGATTATGGGTCGGAGAGTAGAGGGAGAGAGTGTACTGTGTACGCGAAGGATTCACAAGTGTCTTCTGGATGAGGGGAGCTATTGTTCATTGCTTTGTGGAAAACGTCAAGGTCGTTTGACAATTGTGGTGGAAAGATGTGAGACCTTTGTTATCTTTTGGCTTTCGAGATCGGGAAGGTGCTGTGGTGAAGTTTGTGGAGTGTATATAAGAAGGTGACCAAATAAACTTGTCTTTAGCTGTGTTAGAGACGTGTCCTCGACTGTTCATTTTTCTTCTACTTCGAAACTTTCCTCTTTTCCTGCCTCAGTCTCGGGCTAAGAACAAAATGGTTAAAATTGTAAATTTTCTTTTGTGACACCCTGTGCATTCTGAATCATTATTCATGACAAACCTAATTATGATGCGTTTGTTTCCATGTTTCTTGCCTTAGTAGTTCGCGCCTTGTGTTTTTCAGTAATAAAGTTATAAACCGATTTGTATGCCCCTCGTCAAATGTTTTATTGCTTCACTCGAGGGGAGCTTCCACATGTTGCCTTCTTGTTTTTACAAAAAGAGCTAAACTACATTGTAAACATGAATCCAGGAAGTATGTTCCTTCGAGTCAAACGCAGCTTCAAAAAAGTTTCTCAAAGCCTAAAAAAGAAGACAGGTCCTTTGTCGTTTATTGCTTTATCAGGAAATCCTGGCACCCAACGTCTTTCCTTCCCCTCCCCCCCCCCCCCCCAAGACAAACAAAAAAAAAACAGAAGAAAAATTTGACCCATTTTTATGTAGCCAACAATTTCCCCACATCCCAAAACAGACACTCTCAAGAAGTCATAAATGTATCGCAAATAAACTAAAAAACCTAACAGCAACAACAATAACAACACACCCGCTAAGGATCGTCATTCTCGCTCGGTCCTCGGAAAGTCGTCAAAACCGAAAGCCCGCAATTATCTCAGGTAAACAGCCGAAAATGTCCGTAACGCCACTCGAACGCACACAAACACCGAAGACACACACATACACACATACACACACACACACACTTCCTCTTACCCCTAATGTATAGACGACCAAAACAAAACACCTTAACGGATGTTCTCTTTGCGAACCCCAAGGCACCCCAGCACCTTGATTGTCCAGAGCAAGCCTCAAACGCCTTTCTGCCCGTCAAAACAAAAAAACAAAACAAAACCAAAAGAAAAAAAAAACGCTCACATAAAGAAACGAAAAACACGGTTAAACAAGCGAAGTGAAGAAAGAAATACGTTTCAACATAACGTGCTGGAGGCAGTAAAAGAAGGTCGAGGATTCTTAGACAGCGCGAAACTGCCGGGTCAAGATTGGAGCTGGACGCAACAGTATACTAGAGCCCGCGCGGCAAACGTCAGGAGATAAAGATACAGGGGCCTGAAGTACGAGGGCTGCGAGAGAAGGTAATACGAGAGAGGTGTTTTTCGTTTGCTTCGCAGCTCGGCGCCAGTACACTGAGCTTCAATTTAGGGTAACGACGGCTCGTTGCAGGCTTTCTGTTTTTTTGTTTGTTTGTTTCTGTTTTTGTTTTTACGAGGGACCTTGGTAGACAGGAAGGCGGTGGTGAGTGATATAAGGTTTTCACTGGAAATTAGACATTAGGAATGCCAAAAATGTTTTTTTTTGTTGTTTGTGTGTGTGTGGAATAGATCTAGGTTTTGGTGTTGACGCTTCTTGAAATTTTGATGCCGGGTTCGTTACGAGGCAGTTCGCAGTGTACATTCTGTGATTCCCAGAACCACTTTCTAATGAAGAGCTCGTTTGAACTTCCGAGTGAGGTGAAAACGTATATATTTGCAAATATCACTGAGGTGTATTGCGGCTAATATTGAAAACGTAAATATTATAATAGTGACAAAACCTAACCGAATGTAAAATAATTCTGGGGATAAAAATGAATCTACATGTACGCAACAAAGACATAGACCGCGTTAATATAGCAGCATAGCAATCTAGAAAAATATAAAAACTTTGCATTAATTTTTTTTGTTTTTTGTAGAGCTTGAGAGATTTGGTTTTAGGAATGAAACATTTTAGAGCTGGCACCTAGTTCGCAAACAACCGACGAGCTTTGTAGTCTATTCGCTACGCTGATCTGAAGATGGCGCTACAAGTCACAACCATCGCTAACTCGGTCGATCGTCTGCATGTCCACCATTCCCTCTGGCATGTTTGTTGGTCTTAGTTTTTACTTCATAAGCAAACAAAAAAAGAAAAAAAAAAAACACCTCGTAAATGCGCATTCGTTGAAAGTCTCACCTTTTTATTTGAAGGCGACACATCTTTCGGCTCGCTTTTTTGTGCTTAGATCTATTGAGGTCGCCTTAAATAAGCTACTTCTCGAATGATTTGAAAAGTAACGACCACCTGTGTATAACCAAACACTGAAGTTTTACGCAGCGCTGCTCAAGTGAAACCATTTATGGTAATTCATGTTTCATATTAATATGAAAAATGGTCACTTCTTCCACCGATATAACAAGTGTAAGGATGTGTTGAAAAGAAAACAAAAAAAGCTAAAGCTTTAGGAAATATGTGCTGGTTGAAAGCGGGCTTTTAAAGCCTATGAATCATTTTATACTTTTTGCAGGCCATGACACGGAGCATCTAATATAAATATTTAAAGGCTTACGCAACACGCAGCTAGTACGCTAAGATTGAACCAAAATAATAAAAAAATTATATGTATATATATGTGTGTGTGTGTGTGTATGTGTGTGTGCTTATTGCTACACTAGACATTTATTATTCCTCCTCGTCTCGTTCCGAGCTTCCACCTTAGAGTCACGGACCACGGACAGCTTAGGAACAATGTTAGCGGCGAGTGTTTAGCATTTTATGATTGGTCCCCAGCACACAATTAAGATTGCAACGTTAGCCGATAAGAACGCTGATGACGACGCTCAAAACAAGAAGCGTCAGCTCCATAAACAATGCCCTGCGTTACTCAAGTTCTCGGTGACTATAGATGGCGTGGATAAGTTTTCCGTGCTCCCTTTATAAAATTTAGGTGCTCAGGCAATTTGTTTTTAAAGTTTTGACATGATGTCTGAAGTGCTGATACAAAACGTTCTGCCCAGTTTCTATTTCGAAGTCTAAAGGCCCGTTCACACTATTGCAACCGAGTACGACCGAGAGAGACCAGACCGGTTTTAAGCCTCTTGCGATCTCTTAGGACCAGTTCCGCTGCTGCGCGTCCGGTCCTAAGAAGTCGTTAGAGGCTTAAAAACCTGTCTGTTCTCACTCGGTCTTACTCGGTCACAAGAGTGTGAACGGCGCTTAACCGTCTTCGTGGCAGCCATCTCAATCGACAAGATCGCTATGTAGATAAGAACAATCGGAAGAGGTTTTCTGGGAACGCAAGGGTTGGAAGCTGTGCGGCTGGCAATGATCCACAGCACTAGATAAAGGGTTTGTAGACATATCTCTGTAGGACACTTTGCAGACATGTTAATTGAAGTATTTTTTTATATATTTATATATATTTAGCATGACGCCTTGCACGATTCTATCATGCTCACTTTTTTGCCTCGTTCATATTTGGTCTCATCATTTGGGCGAGATAGCTCCTTAGATCCCA